CGAACCCGTGGCCTTGGTGCTATCAGCACCGCACTCTCCCGAGTGAGCCACGGGCCGGCCCATCCATGTGACTTCTTACTTCAAGGGCTGCCAAAGACTCACTGATGTGCCTGAGAAGACATGCGGGAAGCGGGGGGTGCCTGGGAGTGGGGAAGCCTCGGGTGGGGTTCACTGTTTTTTTGGGTCTTTCCAGTATGGGGCTGAGACTGAGAAGTTGCAGCGGCAGCTGGCTTCAGAGAGAGAAATGCAGTTCCAGGAAGAGGTGAGGCTCCCCCTGGGCTCGTGTGCCCCTGCCCTTGACAGCCTCTGGCCCAGAGTGCAGACTGAGCCCCTGGCAGCTGTGGACTCTCCTGAGAGGACAAGCAGCTTGTAGGCAGGGACTGGGTCTGGTCCCTTTTTGCCCCCTCCATGTCTGGCACAGGGCCTGGCAGGTGGCACTTCAAATGAAGTCTGAGCGGAGGGGAGTGGAGTCCAGGGAACTGCCTGGCATCACCGTGCATGTCACTGTTTGGGTCTAGAGCCTGGGCCTCTTGCCTCTTAGGGTGGGAAGAGGGTAGACGAGAGTACTGGACTGGTTTTGCCTGGGTCCCAGCTGTTTGACCTGCGGGAGAGGTACACAGACTGGGGGGGCATGCCCGCTGAGTCCCAGAAAGAGGCGAAGACCCTTCGCCAGCAACCCCTGGTGTCCACTGGGTCCGTCACCCACTATGTGTACAGTGTGCCTCTGGTGAGGACCCTCCCCTGGCTGCCCACCTTTTTACATCTGTGTGCCACGTCTTAGCTCTGCTAGCTGGTTTCTATCCTCGGGTCCTTTTTTATGCATGAGAACATGGGTGGAGGTTCTGTGGGGTTCCTCTGCTAACGTCCCTCTTCTGCACCCTTATAGGGGGCACTTCCCAGTTTCCAGGAGACCCTGGCTGAGGAGCTCAAAATGTCTCTAAGGAGGATTATCTCAGATCCTGTGTATTTTATGGAAAGGTGCGTTCCTAGGCCCACCGGCCACACTCGCCCCGGCCTCCCAGTACGCAGTGGGGAGGCGTCTGCCCTCACACTTCTGCCCTTCCGTGCTCCCCATGGTGCCCCTCCTCTGCCTCCCTGCACCCACCTCGTGCACTGCCCCAGCCCCTTTCACTCAGCGCTCTTCTCTATTAACATGGTCCTGCATCTACCCTGGGATATTTTTGCAAGACTGGGCCCCAAGGACTTTGTAGTTTTGGCTTCCGTTGCCTCTGTACACTAAAGATCCTTTTCTCTGTTGAAGGAATTATGAAAGGCCCAGAGGGGACATGTCAGACCTGGGGTACACTAGCCAGGGGCTCCCCATCACCTGCCCTCACCTTTCAGCAGCCAGACAACCACCTGCAGCCTACAACCCTGGAGAAGGCCCCGCTCTCTGGGCCTGCTGGGCTGGGAGTTGTTCTGGGAAGGAGCTGCCCCCCTTTCCTTCAAATCTTGCCCCCTGGGTGGCTGTCTGATTTAAGGCTGCTTGAGCGGAGACCAAAGCCCTCCCTTCACCTGACCAGGGGCTGAGAGACGGATGAGCACTGGCCTAGGAGCCAGGAACACCGGGGACTGAGTCCCAGCTCGCTTCCTTTCCTGGCTGTGTGTCCTTGGGCAAATCACTTGACCTGTCTGAGCCTTATTAAAATGTATTTGTTCCTATGGCAACTAGCTAGGGGGTGGGTTGTGAAGGTTAAATAATGAAGGAGAGAGGCAGAGGGGGTGTCATTCCTGCTGGTCTCCTCCATGCAGCAGGGTGGGGGATAGCGGGCAGGTGGGGGCCTGTGCAGTGTTGGCGACCACTCTTCTCCCTCCCACCAGGGGTGTAGACTGGGTGTTTGAGGCCCTGAAGCTGGTACCTAGCTCCCCTCTCCCCTGGCTGGGACAGAACTGGGGAGGAGCCCGTAGGGTCTGTGTGTAGACTGGGGCGGGGGCAGGAGGGCTCAGGGGATGGGGCTGGGCGTTGCATTTTCCTCCTCAGCCTCACTGGCAGGAGACAGCCTGGGGGAGTGGAAGAGGGTGTCTGGGAGGTCCAGCTGGGGTTGGCTTGTAGGGAGATGGAAAGACTTCTCTGTCTCCCTGTCCAGATACGACCTTCGCTACCGTGAGGAGCGAGAGCAGGAACAGGGGTTTGATGCCGAGGAGGGGTGGATGCCGGCAGAGGATATTGTGCCAGAGGAAGATTTCGAGCCTGCGGAGGAGTTGGTGCCTGAGGAGGAGCTGGGGGCTACAGAAGAGGGGGTGCTGGCTGAGGAAGGGGTGACTGAAGAGTCAGAGCTGGTGTCGGAGGACACTGAGGCCTGGGAGGAGGTGGAGCCGGAGCTGGATGAGGCTACGCGGATGAACGTGGTGACCTCAGCCCTGGAGGCCAGTGGCCTGGGCCCTTCACACCTGGACATGAAGTATGTCCTCCAGCAGCTGGCCAGCTGGCAGGATGCCCATTACAGGCGGCAGCTGAGGCAGAAGATGTTCCAGAAAGGTGAGTGCTCCCATGGGGGCCTCCCTCCGGCCAGTCGGACAAGCTGCAGATCATCAAGCTGATGAAAGGTGAGGGTAGGTGAGCCCCCCAAGTGCTCACTTACCCCAGTCTGGCCCTGCCCAGCGTGCTGATTTGCACGGGCTTTGCATATCATTTGCATAGGTACCTCAGGTTCCCTTCAGTGGGAACTGTGGCCCCAATGCTCATTTATGTCAAATTTGCTTAGGCTTCCAGATCTCCGTCCATTTTTCTCATGGGGGAAGGGCTGGGGGTCAGAGCTGGGACTCTGTCCCCCCACTGCACCTCAGCTTCCTGTCTCTGCCTGCCCCCTTCCTTTATCCTCCACTCCTGCCTCTCCTGTCCGCAGTGCTCCCTACCCCTGCAGCAGCAGCAGCAGCAGCAGCAGCAGGCCAAAACAGACATGGGGGGGCGGGATCGTGGAGCAGCAGCCCACGATGCTGACCCAGGACCTTTGGAGGCTGGAGGAGGACAGGGCCAACCACCCTCCCATGGCCTGGGAGGAAGAGGGGCCTGCTGGGGTCACCCAGGTCATTGGGACGAAGGCCTCCGCCAGCAAGGGCCACAGTCGGACCAGTCCCCTGGGTGAGTCTGAAGGTGGGCTAGGGTCTCCTACAGGGTGGTGGGGGGGTGGGTTAGGTTCTCCTCTCCCCAGCTAGAAACCCCCAGGTTTGGGGAGCTGCACCTGCTGAGTGCAGTCCATGGGAGCCCTGCCCTTAAGGAGCTCATGGTGATATCAAGGATGACCTAGTGACTTTCACGCAAGTGGGACCCTTTACATGTGTGTTAGCTCCTGTGACCCTCACGCCCCTGTAGGAAGGTATTATTATCTTCCATTTCCTAGGTGAGGGAACAGGCTCAGAGAGCTAAAGTGACTTGTTCAAGGAAGGCTACTGTGCCATAACGCCTTCCCTGGCCCATCCCTCCCCTCTGATGCTGTTCTGGTGCCCCATCTGGCCTGCTGGGTCAACCCTGAAGTTATAACTTGTTGGTGGCCTCCATCTTATCTAGCCTGTCCCTACTCTGATGGCACTTTGGTCACTGCTGGGTGGAATAGCACTGGCCTCAGCAGGGCTGCCATGTGAAGATGTACAGGTTGTAAACTGAACCGTGACCTCCATGGCTGGGCAGTGGGCAACCTGCATAACTATCAATGGTGGCTTTCTGTTTCCTTCTGATACAGCTGGCCAGATCCCTGCCTGATGCCCAGGCCAGGCCTGTGGTTGTCAGGAGCCCAGTTCACATCCACCCCCTTCTCTTCCAGGCTTTGCTGTTTCCCAGCAGCCTGCAGAGGCCCCACAGACAGTTTGAGGCCCCTCCTTCTGCTGCCTGGCCAAGCCCGACCCATCCCAGACCCTCCTTCCCATCCTCTGAAACGGGACCCCATGTCTGTCACTCGCCCAGCTCCTGATGAACCTGGGCTGGAGCTTGAGGGCTCAAGCCTCAACCCTCTTTGGGGACTGGCAGAAGGAACCGCGGCCCTCATTCTGCAGCTGGTGCAAAAGCTGTGGCTGCTGGGCCTGGATGGCAGAAGAAGCCCGAGGGGAGGCCCACTAGCTACCAGACCCAGCTCTGAGACGGGGCTGACTGAGCTGGGGGTGGAGGCTCGGATCCCAGGTGTAGGACGTGTTGTGAGTATCCTCTGAACAGCTCTTCACCCCTTGACCCTCATATTAAATGTGGTTCCCAAGTCCTTGTTGACTTAGGGACCTGGTCCTCTTCCCATTCTTTGTCCTTACCATTTGTAGCCAGAAGTGTCTGTGTGTGTGTTGGTGGGTGGGTGTGGGGTCCCTCTGCCCAGTGACATGCCTCCCCTCCATCTCCTCCCTGCCTATGGCCTGTGAGGGTCCAGTCTCCCCACCCAAAGCCCACCCAAGGCCCAGTCTCTCCCTCCTGCTGTCCTCCCTCAGTGCCCCGTGTTTTCTCGTTTGAGATGTTCTGCCTCTTCCCACCCCTTTACCCATAAGTAACTGGGGCCTGGGGCTCAGGACCTCCATCGGTGACTGCCCCACTGCCCACAGTGCTTCTCAGTCTCCTGTTGCTTGTCAGCTTGTGTGTGTGCCGGTGCAGGAAATAAAAAACCTGTGTGCTACCTAGCCCTGTCTCAAGCCATCTTTCTCAGGGAGCACGTGTGCGTGTGTGCATATGTGCGTGTGTGCACGTGTGCATATGTGTGTTTGCACGCATGTGTGCATATGTGCGTGTGTGCATGTGTGTGTGTGAGCACGTGTGCATATGTGTGTGTGTGCACGTGTGCATATGTGTGTTTGCACGCATGTGTGCACACTTTGCAGGGACAAAGTTGTGGAGAGAGAGGATGGACTCTGATATTGAATAACGTGCCAAGGACTTTTATTAAATACACTATTTAATCGTACCAGCAACCCCCGTGGGCTGGTAGTGATATGATAAGCATTTGTCAGGTGGTGAAACAGGCCCAGACAGGTTAAGTGACCCTCCTGAGGGTCTAGGAGCTGGTTGTGGAGCTGGGATTTGAACCGGAGTCCTTGGAGCCCATGCTTGGGTGGGCTCTGTTCCCAGATCCTTTCTGCCCCCGTGCCCCAGCTGTGAAGGGACAGCAGGAGTGGGAGTTACTCACTGAATCAGTCCATTTCTGTTGCTTATAACAGGAGTACCCGAAACTGGGTAACTTGAAAGGAAATGAAATCTATTGCTTACAGTTGGGAGGCTGAAAAGTCCAAAGTCCAAGGAACACTTATGGTGAGACCTTCTTTGGTGGTGACTTCAGCGATGCAGCGTATCCCATTGCGAACAAGGCAGAAGCAAGTGAGAGCTGACTCCTCCTCATAGAGACCTCGGAACCATGCACGTGACCACTATTAAACCGTCCATGGGTGAATCCATTCACTTGGGCGTGGTCCTCACAATCTAATCACCTCTTCAAGGCCCCACCTTTCAATTATAATAGGATTTCCTGCCCTCAACAGTTACAGTCGGGATTTAAGCTTCCGTGAGTTTGGGGGGACATTCAATCTGCTGCACCCACTGTCTTAAGACAGGAAGGTAATGAAAGGGGCTTTTAGGCAATTTAGGCTCAATCCCCCTGGGGAACTGGGAGAAAGTGTAGCCCTTTACAACTCGAAGTATGGTCTGTGGACCAGCCTCATTGATATCTCCTGGGGGTTTATCAGAAATGCAGATCCTCAGGTTGCACCCCAGACCTACAGAATCAGAATCTGCATGTTAACATGGTCCCCGGGTCATTGACATGCATATAAAAGTCTGAGTCACACCAATAGAAAACACATGTCAGTTATCTTGCCCGAAAGGGGAGGAAGCTTGGGCATGCCTCCCCCAATTCCCACTCGCCACTGGCTGGGGCTGCTCCTGGCCATGCCTCTTGGTACTTCTGGCCATGCACAGGCAGAAGAAAAGCCCTTGGGCAGAGAGTAACTGGTTCTGGGAGCAGGACAGTCAGCATTGACTGCAATGGTGAGTAGCTAGGATGTGGGTGGGACATCGCTAGTGTCTCTACAGTCCACTCCTTGTCCCACTCAGAGGAACTCAGCTCCATGTGGAGTTCACTCTGGCCTGGCATTGCTTCTTTAAGATGGTGGCCAGTCACAGTATCTTAAAAAAAAAAAAAAAAAAAAAAAAGATGTAACTGGAGGGTGAATGGTACAAACCATGCAATGGGTTCTGAAGCCCTAAATGACATTTGCCATCTCCTTTCTCTACTGCCCATTCTATATTCCCCTCATCCTTGGCCAGCACTTCAGAGGTCCGTTGCTATCCTGGTGGAGTGACCTAGACATTCACTCCTCTGAGGTCTGAATCCTCAATTACCATGCCCTGGTCAGCCCATGGTTGGCGCAATTGTCTGTTTATGGTTATCATGAGGCAGAAAGCACCAAGAGGCACCCCAGTGAATCCCTCAAGTTCCAGACATAGTCCTTCCTGTCCCCATTCTGAGGCAGTGGCCTTAGCTCCTCACAATGAGCAGGGTCAGTGACCTCTGACGGTCATAGCCCTTTCTCTGCCTGCTGGTCTACTGTCACGAAGAGCCGCAAATGCCCAGCCAGCAGCTGTACCTTCAGATTTATTTTACTTTTGTTTTTTTTACGAATGGCACATTTGTTTATTTTTCAGTTTGTGAAAATGCCCTTAATTTGTTGATATAGCAAACAAATTTCCACTCTGATTGCTATGCAAAAGAACAGAAGATAATCTGCTTTGCAGTGAGCTTTATAGTTCAGTTGCCTACAGGCAACATGTTATATATGAAAAAATCACTAACTGAACTGCAGGTATTAAATACTGAAAAAAATAACAGTTTATTATATTTTATTTAACAGTCTAGGAAGTTCGCAGCCATCAGTAGTTGCAGTGCCATTTCAGGTGCAATTGGGAATGCAGGAATCTTGGTGGAGCTGTTAGTAGGTAAAATACATGAATACTTTTGACAGCACATGTGAAGGGATTTCCCTAAAACTGACCTCACTGGTTTCGTTCTCAGCAAACTGACCTGGACCACTCAGCATGGCTTTTGTTGTTCCTGATGTTAGTTTATGTTCTTTTTCTACAATAAATTCATGACCATCAGATGATATCGATTTGACATACATGACATCCGGAACTTCACAGCCACCGTGGGTTTTCTCCTCTCCATCCATTATATTCTTATGAAATTCTCCTTTACTTCCACAGCAATTTTAGTAGTTTCTTGTCAGCCTCACAGCCACTGCAGCCACCGCAGCCAGGTCCCTGTGTACTGCCACAGCCCCTACTCCAGGTCGGCCCCGCACCCAGAACTTTAGGATTAGGGGAATCTTTGCTGTATTCCTGGTGGAAGCATCCCTCCCTCTCCCAAGAACCAGGGTTTCTAGTCCAGAAGAGCCTAAAATTGTGGGTGCAGGAAACACAGATTCCTGAGGTGCGAGGGGCTGCTCCCATCTCTCCCCCTTGGTTCCTGGACACGTATGCTCTGGCTGGCCACTGTATAATGGACACTGACTCAAAGTGTACATTGCGTCCCAATCCCCAGGGTGTTGTCCCCAAGTTAGTGCCTCAGCTATGCCTTTAATTCCAACATGTTCACAGGCCTGCAGTGATGTGATATATGGTGGGACATGCGGATCCCATGGTCATGTGTTCATCGCTGCACCTCCTTTATCATAAAGTGGGTCTCAGGGCCCGCCCGTGGCTCACTTGGGAGAGCGTGGTGCTGACAACACCAAGTCAAGGGTTAAGGTCCCCTTATCCGTCATCTTTAAAAACAAACAAACAAACAAATAAAGTGGGTCTCAGGGCCCGCCCGTGGCTCACTTGGGAGAGCGTGGTGCTGACAACACCAAGTCAAGGGTTAAGGTCCCCTTATCCGTCATCTTTAAAAACAAACAAACAAACAAATAAAGTGGGTCTCTTGGCTTGAGGTCATGTACTGTAGGATCCCATGATGGTAGGTCACATATTCTGTAAGTCCATGGCTGGTGACACTGATGGAGGCACTGTGGCCAGGAAAGGCAAACCCATATTTAGAACATGTATCATCCCCGCAAGGATGACTGAGTGCCCCCTCTAGGGTGGAAGGTGTCTGATGTAACTCACTTACCAACTAGGAGCTTGATAGTCTCCTTGAGGGGTGGTCCCATAGGAAGGGCTCAGCATTGGTCTGTGCAGCTGGCAGGTCAGAAAACTGCAGAGGTGGCAGCGAGATGAGCCATTGGGCCCCTGCCACCACGGTTACTGTATTCATGGGCCCATGATGCAAGTACGAGTGGCTGGAGACTGAGTGTGACCTCACTGGACGAGCTGTTCTGTCCCCCTGGTTACTCCGGGCCTCTTTGTGGTAGATGCTCTTGGGTGGGTACTGATGTGCGATGTGAAGTTCCACACACTTTGTGACCCCTCTGTAGATGCCTCTTCTGCAGAAGTCTTTGTCTCTGATTTTCTGACCTTGCTGCTACCAGTCCCCTGACCCATCAGGCAAGCCATCTGCACTGCCCAGGAGTCCGCGTTGTGCTTACCCCAGGCTTCTTCTCCCGGCACACCAAGCCGATGACCAGGTATTCCACTTGAAACTCTGCCCATGGGGAGAACTGCCCCCCGCCCACTGTCTTTCAGGGCCATCCCTGTGTGGGGCCGTGGGTCGGCAGCAGTCCATTTTCAGTTTTTACCAACATATTAAGCCTACCCTTTTGTGAACCAGGTCCAAGTTTTTCCTCCTCTCTGAGCTGGTCATAGGACCTCCGGGTGAGGAGGGTCGTCAGATCTGGCCCATCGCCTGTTTTTATGTGGCTTACAAGCTAAGGCCAAATCTAATATCTTTAAACGGTTATTTGAGCACCTACGTAATCCTTGATTACGCCTCTTGGCCTGAAAAGCCTATCATATTTCCCATCGGGCTCTTTAAGAAAAAGTTTGCCAGCCCTAGGGGTCAGACCTGCAGTTCTCTTATTGTGACCTGCCAGAGACTCCTCGTGGTGTCCTTGTCTACAGTGGATACTTCTAGCACTGTGGGGTCTGCCAGGTCACATGCCCCAACAGCAGGCTGCGGTGCCACAGT